TATTATATTTTTATTAAAACTATAAAGATTTTAAAATACTTAACATTAATATAATGCAATCATATAATGTAAAATAGATAAATTTATTCTTTACATTACATATTCATATATATCTATAAATCAAATTTTTAAGATACAATTTTGTACTGTAATATTTCTGATATTGACTTTAATATTTTATTTATCATGTAACAAAAGAAATATTTAAGAAATTGTACATTGCATTTAGTTTGTTTAATTTGTAACAGAAAGAGGTATAAGGAGAATATAATTTAAGGTGAAAAAAAGAACACAAAACGAGAACGGATCATGTTTACAATTTTATTTTCGTAATTGTAAAATAATATTTACAAAGCAATATATATTTCATGTACACAAAGTACATAGTCGTTTTTCAAGTTTTGATTAGTGTATAAGAAAGAAATACAACAAAACTAAAATAATATGTACAATGAGTATTTAACTGTAAGAATATATCACGATTACAGAACAAATATGTCTGATGAAATCTTTGAAATACTTATTAATTATGTAATTAAATAAGAAAAAAGGAAGCAAAAAAGAGTAAAAAATTGGGAAAAATTTCAATAAGCTTTTTGTATTTGTAAATGAAATACGCAAGCATTTGTATGAATGATTTTGAAATAAATCAGAAAAAGAGCAATATGATAAACGCAGTATGCAAAAATATGCAATAATATACAAAAAAAGCGAATAAAAATGTAATCGATGAAAATATATAAGTAAATGCGAAAAAAAAAAATACATTGTAAGAAAAATGTATTTTTTAAATGCGATTCTTTGGCATTTATGCACGATACAATTAGGCGGTCTAAACATTACAATACACAATGTGATCTATGTACAATTTAAAAACTATCACCTTAAGCGTAAAAGTAAGTATGAAGACAAGGTATGACGCTTACAAAAAATTTGTGTATACTTTTATCGACGATTTAAATAGCAATATTGCGTTTGTAAAATTTGCTATATATAAAAACCGGCTTTCCGCAGATTTTGTAAATTCATACTCAATTGGTATATACTGCGCGGTTAAACATATATTCTTATTGTATATTGTATATTCTTTCTGATGCGATGATTCATCTAGCGAGGATTTTTTAAATATTTTATGTAACAAAAAAAGAAATAATGAGAAAAAAAAAGAAAAAGCTTTAATACGTTGAGCGATATTTTTTGTTTTTAATATATAATACAATTATAATGGCATCCAACTCATCCTCAACTTCATGTATTATTAAATTTTATAGTTGATAGTGTATTTACGTAAAAATATTTTATTCAATAATTCCTCAACGTAATGCTTAAGTTTCTTTAATAGATATAACAAATGATTTTCAAGAATAGTTTAGATACTTTTTTCATATTTTTTCTTCTCAAATTTTATCTTTTTCAGAGATTAATTAGAAAATCTTCGTTAGGTAAGACTTAATCGGTGACATTAATACCAGTTTGTAATTAAATCTTGAGGCATGTCTTAATTTTAAAAATTAAGTTGTAATAAACTTGTTTGCTGATAATCTGACAATATGACTTTGTTTCTTTAAAAAACTTAACTCAAATTAAATGTTTTATTCAACTTAATTAAAATAAAAGTATTCTATTATGAAAATTTAAATCTTTAATAAGTTCTATAATAATGAAAAATAATATTGCAAAATTTTTAATTCTTTAATTCTTACAATATTTTTCAATATTATGTTAATTCACATCTGATATTTTAATAATTCTTTTAATATTTTTTCTCTTAGTAAAAGAAAATATTTAATAATTTAATAAGGTAATAGATAGGAACAAATATGTTCTATCTTTGATAAGTTTTTATTTAAAAAAAAGAATAAATACGTTACTTCTGTGCATGTTGAAACAATTTTGATGATGGTCTGCTTTCTTCATTCATGATGATACTGGCTCAATCCTGTTGCATGCAATAAATTAATAAAATCATTAAATGAATATCAATTAATATATACAATAAAAGTAAAATTCAAACAAATATATTTAAATTAATGATAAGAATATAATAAAATTAATGATAAGGGTGAAGAAAAAATAATTATTATTAAGAATTCATTTTTGCATATTAATATTTACAACTAAATTTAAAATCTATACTTAATATCCATAAAGATCCATAAAGATTTATTTTTAGATTTGTTTTACAAAATTTAAGTTAAAATCATTTATTATAATTTGTTAAATTAATAAAAGAATCATAATATATAAAGTTCTTATTTTAATTATAATAATTATTGGCAGAAATTTTTAATTTCAGAATTTTCTTAAAAAATTTTGAAATCAATCCATTTTTATCTTATATATTTAATATATTTAAATTTTGAATTTTTGAAAATATCACATATAGAGAATTAAATATTATTTTTAATAAAATTATTTTATCAATATATATTTTATAATGTTCACATATAAGAAATTTTATTGATATGCTAATAATATAATTTTAAATACATGAAATTCAAATACATAAAAAAAATCAAAGAAAATAAAATAAATTGTATAGGATTTATAGATCATACAATGACTATTATTAAGAACAATATTAATTTTTTTGTGTAATATTGTTCACAATAATGTCATAACTATACATTATGATAATATTAATAATACATGCAGTTATTTTTTTACAAATAATATAAAAGATAAAATATAATATAAACATAATATAAACATAATATATTAATTCTTAAAAATACAATTAATATTGTGTATAGTATATATTGAAAATACTACACATGCATAATAAAAATAGGCATTGTACAATATTAATAAGATGCATTCTAAAATGTGAGTACATATATTATATTAATACCTACTAGTATTTGAAATTCAGGGATTTATATATAAAATTTGCAAACATAATTTGGAGACTGTTATATAATTTGAAGACTGTTTATCTTTATTGCCATTAGCTTTATATAGTTTATAATAATCATTATATTATCCACATATAATACAGTTTTATTTACAAGGGATCTAGTGTACACTATGATTAGATGTAGTGAACAACTTTTTAAGAACAATATAAATGAATGATGTTTAATAAATAGTAAATAGATAATCAAAGCGACTATCTACAATCAAAATACAAAAATAATGAAATAGAGTTTACTTATTTATACTTAAAAATTAATGTATTCATAAATACTAAGCAGCAACATGATTTACAGGAACCATATCTAAAAATGCTAATTCGACTAGTCAATGAACAGATTTATTTTGATATCCTATAAAAAAAATTTTATTGGAATGTTTGTAATTTATAATATAAATATACTAAATATTTATATAATATAATTATACTAAAAAACTAAACTTCATTTAATATAATTCAAAATCATGTATTTTGATTTCTTTTTTTTTCTAATTAAAAAATATGAAATTAATAGGTTCTAATACTGCTTTTCCAAGAGTATAGAATATCGCTTGATTAAATTCAGACTATTAGCATAAAATAATTACGTAACACTTGTATGTGCTTTTTAATCGATAACGAAGTTTTCTTTTATATTATTATATTTAATAATTATTATTACAACATATTTACAATGTATAAACAGTTCAAAACAATTTTAATTTTTCAAATATATTAGTATATCAAAGGTTAAAGATTTGCTACAGAACATACAAATTTTTATTTTGTACATTTTAATAAATATTATTTCTTAAAAAACAATTATGTTTGAAAAAACATTCAATCTGTTACGTAATACATTCTATGCGAAAAAAATTGTATACATATATATGCATATAAATATACATACATGTATATATATATATGTTACTGGATAGTTTACCTTAAAAAGGCTATATAATAATTTCGATAATTTGCTACTTTATTATGCATCTAAACGTAAAATCGGAATAGATTAGAATAGAAGATGAGGCCTTACGGTCTTTATTTGGTTATTATTTTCAATTAATATCGAGAAACGAAAGATTCGATTTCTCTTATGATTTTTTTTTTCTCTTTTTTTTTTTTTCATTTTTATCATCATCGTTATTAATTAAACTATCGTAATGATGTAGTTTTTTTCGTATCAACCAATTTATTAAAATTCGTCAAAAACAACAATGCGATCACAGAAAAAACATGTATCGATCACCTGTACAAATCAATCGTACAAAACACAAAAAAATTTGGATATGCGAATGAAATGGAATAATACAGAGATACGAATTCGTGATAAATATATCAAATATAAAAATATATCATACATTTACGAATGTAAAATGGCTGATACATAATTTTATTATAACTGAACATTTTTTTTGAGTTGCGCGCCTAATTGATTTTTTTTTATCCAGTCTTAAATTTTATTATATATTATCATATTTTAAATTCTTTTCCAATGTATAATTATCTTCATTATAATAAACAAAGTAAAAACTGATATCATGGAAAAAAACGCCATTCTTATAATTTTTCTTTAACTTTTATTTATTTTTATTTTTTTCGTTCTCAATTTATTTCAATTAGAAAATAAATATATCTATTTAGACTTTAAATAAATAATCAACAATATGCAAAATATCTTAGAATTTGCGAAATATCAATTTTTTTCTAATATATATTAATAATCTATAAAAATTCTGTTTTCATATATTTCTTCAACTAATAATAAGAAGATTGATACAATAAATAAAAAACAATGGAAGTGATTGATCATGGAAATATATCGATAATAGTCTATTGTTACATTCTATTCTAGAATAAGCACCACACAAAATCAAAAAAAAAAAATATAAAAGAGAAAAAAAAAAGGAAATGCATTCAAATAACAGTTTTTAAATTTTCTCAATAAAATAATTGCAAAAAAAGCGGATATATTACTTCGCATTACCACTAAATACCCGATATAACTAAATAGTTAAATATTTGTTATAAAATTGTTAGCAGCGAACTAAAAGCGGAAAGCATAAGAAGATGCTCATGTAAGATATTTTTCTTTTTTTTTTTATACGAAGACAGACACAGTTTAGTATAGCAACAAAGTATCATACAATTTGTTTATTTCTGTGAGATGATTTTACAATTTCGTTTTAAAGTCATTTCTATACAATATATATTATTAATACAGAAAAATTTGATCAAATTTTACAATACATTTAAAAATTGTTATATGCTCATTATCTTTTATACAATAGATACTTAATTTGAAATTAATGGTCACAATATGTCTATTTTTTCTTTACGATATAGTAAATGATATCATTCAATATTCGAACACCATATGTTTGTTTCTATCCTTTATATTCGTTGAAATATTGTTCTATACATAACTGGTCTTATCTTCAGTCAAGGCACGAATTTTGAATCGGGCCTTGCCAAATTTTTGTCAACGAGTTAACAATCTACTTGGGTATAATTAGTGAACCATTTACACTATATTATTGAGTTAGGTGCGAACCCTGATCCAGTCACCAATTTGACGGTATCGAATGAGCGCTTAGAACAGCAGCATTATATGCTCAATTATATGCAAACTATTGATAAATATGGCACTTGAATAATGATAATATTTAATATTAATTCAAATATTTTATTTAAAAAAGTAAAATAATATTAAAATAATATTAATAATATTAAGAATTAAATAATAAAAAAATAGTTTAACAAAGAAAATTAAAATCGCTGCTGTAATTAGAGCACCTTACGAATGCTAGCACTATCGGTATTTTTTTTAATGGCCGCTGATAAATTTACGATTAAATATAGTAAAAGAGAATGGTGAGTACATGATACGATAAAGTACAGTACTTAACAAGTGATGCATCGGATACATCGTTATTTTTTCATTAATATTCTCTTCTAAATTTCAGCTGTTCCTATTGCCTGCATATGCAGGTCAGATTAGACCACACATGCTGAAAAGACACCCATCACACGTCAACCAATGTCCCCGCCGTAGTCCTGACCATTTAGCAGATTACGGTTGTAAATGGCAGCCCTGTAACTGTACCTATTTATGGCTGGTCGATCAGGAACAGGTGGTGGTACCAGTGCAACATCTGAATTCAACAAAGTTCCGCTTCCCTCATCCACCTCGCCAATACTGCTCTCAACTAACGATGGTTCCACTTCCGTAAAAGCCAACCTGGATCGTAATAGGTATGCGTATGTTTTATACCTCTTAAGCTGAAATGATAAAGTGACAAAATTTATTTATTAATTTTGAATTATATAAAATAGATTATAAAAATTAAAGAAATTTCGTTATAGAACTCAATTTATTCGAATTCTATTTATAAGAATAAAATTTTAAATAGCAGATTATTAATTCAATAATTTAATAATTATAAAAAGAAATTCCAAGAATTTATTTTTATTCCAATATTTTTTATTTTCATATACAATAGATGTTACAATTTTATAAAATTTGAAATATTTAAATTATTATTGAAATTAAATGAATCAATTATTATTATAATGAATTGATAAAATTATGTAAATTATTATTTTTCTTATTGAATTTAGATAAAAAAAATCTAAATATTTTATTTAATATGATTAAATTTTAGAACGGAGAATTCTAAACATTTTTTATTGAATTTCAAATAAAAATAATATTATTTACTGCATTAAAGAATTATATTACTGGAATAATTAAACAATGTGGATAATATAAAGGAAATCAACTATATTTTAATTTAAAAACGATATAAATAGATTTGTTTTTCAATCAATAGTGAATAGATGTACTGACTGGAAATAAAAAGACAATATAAGAAAAAAATATAAGAACTGCACTTTGATATTAAACTTATATAAATGGTTATGAATGGAAAACCATAAAATATACCATGGTGAAAGTATCACGTTCTTCTACTCTTTGCAAATTTTGTTTTTCTCATTGAATGTTAAGTAACTTGCTCCGATTCGATAAAACATGAGATCCATAGAGTATAGGAAATGCAAAACAATTTTATTGCATAATAAGAATTTACTTCTACATCTCACTTACTGAAACATCAAATTAATTAAACTATAATCACAGATTTCTTTTAAATAATATTATAAATTCCAATTTTCTTTTTTTTCTTTTCTTTTAAATACATACATATAAAATAATATTTATTATTTATTATTATATATTACCTCATGATGTAAATAAGCATCTTTTTCCTTATAATTCTGTACAGTAAGAGCTTTAGCTCCTCTCTCAGGCGGATGTCGTCTGTGCTCTTCCAATTCAGCTTCCAATTTGCTCACTCTCTCCTCATGGTCCCGTAATTGTTCTCTCTGATAACACGTCAAAAAAATCCAACAAACTGTCATTATTGCGCAATCTTCTTGAGAAGAAAAAAAAATCAACGAAACAAAATCTATCTTTCTACTTTGTTCATTTAAATTGGTATATTTTAATACGTTTGTACACTACACTCCGACGGTTCTAATTCTGGTGTCCGTATCTCGAGTACGAGAACTTAGAGAACGGAGTTCGCTTCGGGAATAGTGGAGGAAGGCTTGCAAATAAAGAAACAATGAAGACAGATTATATTCGTTTGCGTGACTGAACAGAAGAAACCACTTTTCTTAATCTTTTTTATCTTGTGAACATTACTTACAGGAGATAATTTCGTGTGGCTGCACGGAAGCAGAGGTCGTTGAAACTTTCGCTGTGAACCAACAGCGCCTGCTAATGGTTGACAAGAAAAACTGGCACACACGAAATTAATCGTGTCAATCCACGATTGCAATTCTTTGGAATCACTGAAAATTCACCTTATAATTTTAATCACTTATAATGAATAAAATCATAAAATTAATAAAAAAATAAATGAATGATATTAAAAATATAATAACATTATAAAATATATATGCGATATATTTAAATTCAGAATCAATCTAATTTATTATCTCTAAGTTATTAAATATAACTTTAGTATATTCTAAAAAATTAAAATATTTAAATAAAAAAAAATTGAATTGCATTAAATTTCTGATATTTATATATTTTATGAACAATATTTTATATTAATTAATTTATTATTAATTTAATTTTATATATAATTTTATTTAATATAGAAAGTGAAACTTTGTTTTAATCATAATAAAAAATGCAAGTCATTATATACATAAACTTGAGTATCACATTCATTAATGCCACTATTTTTAGTTTAAACTGTTTAATTCTTGGTATATTTTTTTTTCATTTAATATAATATATATTATAATTAATAATGTAATATAAGAAATAATAACATAATAATAATATTATAATTATTATAATATTATATTTTACACAATTTTAAAAAAACCAATGATTAATAAAAAATATTTTTATTATAATTACCTTGTTTGGAAAAGATACTCTGCTTGATCAGCAGTTTGTAACCTAAACACATGTTCCTTCTTCGTATAGTCAGATGCTTTAGTAGCTAACGCATGATGAATGCGTATCGCATTATGCAAACTATCATTACGGAAGCCATGTTCGTCTTTGTGCAAGTATAATACAAGTTCCCTCAATGTACAATAATACATCTTCCAACCACGTTTCCCAAATGGTGCTGAAAAGATTTAAAAATATTGATATTTTATTATAATATAATATATTACACATATTGTTAATTAAATATATTATTATTGATAAAATATTTCTAAACAAGTTTATATTTAGAAATATATTATGATTATTAATATTAATTTTGAAAATAAAATTTTATAATTTATCTAAAAAAATTATAAAATAAAATTTATAATCAACTAATAATCGAGGAAAAAATACTAATCAAATAAAATTGAATTCAATGTATAGATAACTAAAATTAATTTTGAATTGATTAAATGTTTTATGGAATTTATTTTTAATTATTTAATTATAATTTTAATGAATTAATTAATACTTATTTTTATTTTAATATAATAAATCCATATATGTACTTTTTTCAAAATAATCTGGTGCTGTTTTATCATTATAATAAATATTATATAATGATCCACATAATATTAATAATATTAATAATTTATTGGTAAAATTGTCATAAAACAGAAAAGTATTTGAATTTAAAATTACTTATTAGAAACAAATAAATCTAAAAACACTGAATTAATTATAGTTTAAATAATTGTAATAATGTAAGTAACAATTGTAAATAATTGTAATCTATATATAAATTAAATGTCAATAGAATCATAAAATATATACTTTTCTTTCCGTTGGAATCGAAGCAACATTTCCGCATAACATATCCCTTTTTGAACTCTGTAGCACCTGTAACATTTGGCACATCAAGAAATGGATTTCCGGTACCCGATATTGCTGGACCGTCACCCTGTTGGATTGCTTGATTCGCAGTTTCATCCCCTTCCTCATCTCTAAATAATAAAAAATTTTCATATCCATAAACAATTTATGAATATAATTCAATTATTTACAATATTTTCATCATAATTATAATTCATATAATTAAAAATATATAAATTTGTTATCTTTTTATTCTTCATTTTTTAAGTATTATCAGTTCTATCAGTTAAAATTATGAAAATATAATCTTTGTTTGTATATTGTTTAAATTTAGAATTTTATTTAAATATTTAAAAATATTAAAAATAAAAATTAGAATTATATAAATTATAAATTACATACTTAAAATTCAAAATAAAAGTTACAAAGATGTGTAAGATGCACGCACGCGCGCACTACCCACTTCCCCCCACACACACAAAACAAATATCAACAAACAAATCACAACAAAAATAACTGCAACAATATTTCATAATTTAATTAAATGCAAGTAATTTTTCTGCAATATATATTAATAAGAAATAAATATTCATATCAATTGCATAATATGTACAATAAATATTGTAATGGATAAAATTTCAATCTATTAAATAAAAATAAATTCTACAATATTTTTTCACTATTTTCAAAAATTAATAAAAATAGTTTTTTTCTATAAATTTTTTAATTTTTTAAAATATATGGATTAAAAGTTTCAATCATTCAAGTTGAAATCATTTTTTCAATTATAATTATAATATCAAATTTTTTTATTAATTTGAAATAAATGTCATAAATATTATGAACAATTTTATTTGTTTTTACATAAATTTCTTAAATTAGCAAAATTCTAATCCTTTTTTTTAAATTTTTTAATTCTATAGAACATATTAATGAACATGTTATAAATATTTTGCTAAGTATTATATAGAAATTCGTAAAAAATGCTGCAAAAATTTAAAAAATGCAATCAAACTCACAAGGCCCATTCCAAAGGGAACGATTTAATAGCATTATATAGCTGTTTTAGCACCTCTCTAGGGAAGTTATCGCCATCGTTCAGTTCCGAGAGGTTTTCAATAAATTCGTTACACGACATCTTTCTACCAATATTCTGACCATGGAGATCGGTATTGAGCAGCATTATAGCACAAGTTAAAGTATGAACAGCATCTGAAATAAATACAATAAACAACGAATATAATATTAGACCATTAGTAGAAATATATCATAATTATAATATCATTATATGATAATAATGAATTCATTGTGGTAAAATTAGTATGTTTAATAAAATATATTTGCATATTAATTATTTTTAAAATAGTTTTTTTCGAAATCATATTAAATTATTCATTCTTTAAAACAATTTTAAAAATGATTTTATGGAATAGTTTTCATAATAATCTTTATTTACGTTATTTTTAATACCGTTAATATCAAAATATCTTATTTTTCTAAATAAAAAAAATCATTATGTGTTATATCTTGTGAATAAAAAAATCATTTTAATTCCATTTCTTTTACTAGCTAAAAATTATAATTCTTTAAAAAAAATTTTAATGATGTTAAGAATAACAAAATAATGATTTTGAAGACCATTGTATAAAATTATTTCTAAAATTGTAAAATTGCAGTAACCGAAATGCTTGGCATTGTATATATATAATACATATACATATACATAGCTTCTTAAAGGAAAGTAACCATAGTAATGCATTTCTTATATATATGGTTTATTTAACAAGTTTGCTAATTTTATTATCAGATCTCATATATATATATATTCATAAGGAATATATTTACCCTGAGAATTGAAAGCGCCCGGATTACAATCGAGAAATCTCTTGGAGAAATGTACAAGAACCCTCTCCCTTTCCTGGGTCTCCCCGGTCAAAGAGAACTGGGCAAGGAACTTTCTAAGAGCCACGTCCAGCGTGTCTCGATCGAAGTTGAAGTATCTCAAATATTCTTCGGCTACCGCTCTACTAAAATCGTTGCTGAAACCCAAATGGGATATCCATCATGTTAGACATGTCTCAACCAGTGAGATGCGAACAATTTCAAACATGATGAAGTAAATTTTGGAATCTAAGAATCTCTTCTATTGCATCATAATATGAAATTTGAGAAAGATGCATATACGAAATTGATACTGGGATATTATAAAAAGATTCTTTACGAATATATTATAGTAAAAAAAATTTAAACTAATAATTGATAAAACTGATAAAAGCATGATTTTAATTAAGACAGTTTTGACATCATAATATAATAATATAATATGACTAGGAAGTAATGAAATAATATTTCACTAATATGCTATTTACATAATAATGTGCGAGGAATGTATTTTCGTGGATTACTTCTGAAAAATCGATAAAGATCAAAACAAACGCAAAAGCTAATATATAAAAATATCGATTTCTATTAATTATAATTTATTTATTAATAATAAGTTATTAGGGCTTATTTATTTAAATTACATGAAGAAATAAAATAAAGCAATAGTATAATGGAGAAAAACTATTTTATTATTATTATATTTTATTATTTTATTATATATATATTTATAAATTTCTATTTTTTCTATTTCAAAGTAATCTTATTTTATTTCTATTTTATTTTATCTAACGTGAATTTATTGCTTATAACTTATATAAATAAACCTTAACTAAAATTTTAATATAGAGGAATATATTTTGTATATATATATCTAAAAATCTTTAAATATTTACTATATTTGCTGAAAAATTAATAAAAATTTAAAAAATCATTATTATATATAAATTTTATATATCTATACTATATTTTATATATCTATACTATAAAGAGATTAATGTAATTTATAATATATATTTTATTTAAAATGCAATTAAAATGCACTTCTTGATACTGAAGTTTTATTAGAAAATATTTTTAAATTTTTGAACAAAAGTAAAAATATAAATATAAATTGATCAATTAAAAACGAAGTTTTTAATATGCTTGACTAAGCATATAAATGATGATACATTAGTTTTCATTGTTTTCTAATATTATATGTTTTTAATTAATTATAAGATATGTTTTACTTACTTTTTCTCATACAATATAAATTTAATTAGCTTGATTATAAAAATTTTATTCTATATTAAAGTATTATATTCTATATTAATTAATTGAAAATTGCAAATATTTTACAACTTTTTCTATCGTTTATTTCATTTCTTGATCTTAATTTTCCGGAGAAACTTCATTTTCATTCAATCAAACTAAAAAATCCTATGGATTTAAGAGATGGATTAAGAAATCGTCACAGTTATTTAAAATTGCAATTATTTTATTTTTTCTCTATCTTTTTTTTTTTTCAATCTAACTCTTCAGAGAAAGTTTTACTTTTGTCAGTTAAGTTATAGATTCTATAAATTATAGAGTTACCGCAGTATTTGCAATGACTTTTATGCAGAGAAAGTATTACATAACTTTTCAATTTTGCAATGCTAATTTTTAATAAATGAAAAGGTACATGAAACATTGAAAAGATACAGAAATATCTTATTATAAAAAAAGAAATTAATAAAC